TTCGTGTTGGCTTGAATTTGATTCTCTGCTGGTTTGGCTCCTTGACCTCCTGCCAATGTAAACTCAGTTCCACCTCACCAAGCTCAGATGGTCCTTTCCAAGATGACTGTTGGCCGGTTGCCCTCACCTGGGGGAACACCTGAATCCATGTAACTCACCAGCCACTGCAGTCTGCTGTGTCCACTTATGCACTCCCCTGGTAAATCTCTCCATAGAGGCCTTTGGGGCCGCCAGTAGTTACCATATACCTGCAGCTTTGAGCCTCCCCTACCACGTGGTGAGTCGGGCTTAAGGAGAAAGCACCACTGGCCACCTCCTTCTCCATTGAAGTCTCTCCTTGTTCTCCCTGTGGGCTTCAATTTTCACTTCAGATCCTTGCCAGGTTCTGGGGACCCACTTCCCTCATTCTTGTCTTCCTCATGTCGCTATATTCCAGTGTCTGAAAACCAAATCCTGTATGTCTGTCTTGACATCAGTACCATACTGTTTTGGTTACTGAGCTGTACCTTTGTAATATACGGTGATACCTGGTTGTTGAATTCAGTTTGTTCCAGATTTGTGCTCAAACATTGAACAGTTCAAGAACTGAACATATTTTTCCCATAAGAAATAATGGAAAACCAAATAATTGGTTCTGAGGCCCAAGAATTATACTTATAAATTCATTTTTCCATGACTTTAACCTATTTCTCAACGACTCATTTCTTTTTGGTTTTTTTTGGTTACAGAGATTGAACTCGGGACCTTGTGTGGTGTGGTGCCACTGTGTGAAACCACTGGCCCTCAGTGATTTCTTTCTTTAACTCTATCGTTGTTCTCACAGTTTTCCTCTTAGCTTTATAGCTGGTATCACCAGCTTTCTTTGGAGCCATAGTTGTGATATTTTACAAAAATAAAGTGCACAAGAGCACGGTGACGAATGTTGTAACACACCAACACAAGCACTGTATGTTGTCTGGGTAAGAATAGCACTTAGACTGAACTGTACCCCTTTGTGTCCACAGTAAGACACAACACGTGCATCACTCTTGGCCTGTGCAGGTTTTTTGAAGTTGGATTTTGCTTTGACTAGCTAGCAAAATTAAAAACACCAAGATTTTTTTTTCAAGCTTTCCTGTTTGAGTAGTGGAAAGTTTGAGTTTGGAGCTGTTTCAGACTATCACTGTATTTTGAAATCTAGACCTGTGAAATCCAGCTTTGTTCTTTCTCAAGATTGTCTTGACTGTTTAGAGTCCTTTATAATTCCATAGAGCACACTGGGGATTTAGCTCAGTGGCACTGCACCTGCCTCAAAAGTGCAAGGTCCTGAGTTCTACCCCTGGTAGCCTCCCCCGCCAAAATCTGTAAAATTCATACAATTTTAGGACTTTTTTCTATTTCTTTTTCTTTTGTTTTTGTTTGGGAATGAAACTTGGGCCCTTGTGCTTGCGAAGCAGGCACCAGAACCATTAAGCTAAATCCCTGGCCCTATTTCTTCACCAAAAAAAAATATAATTGAGGTGTTTTGTTTATTTTTTTTGTTTTTTGTTTTTTTTTTTGGTACCGGAGATCAAACTCAGGGCTTTGCACTTGCAAGGCGGGTGGGAGCTTTTGTAGGGTTTGCATTGAATCTAGATTGTGTTGAGTATTATGGACATAATAACCGTATTAAGCCCTCAAGTCCATGAACATGGGTTGTCTTTCTCTTTGTGTCTTCTTTAATTACTTGAAACAGTGTTTTATAGTTTTCAGTGTACAAGACTTCTGTCTGTTGTATTCCTAAGCATTTTATTCTTTTTGATGCTGTTGTGAGATGGGTTTCTTAATTTTTTGCAGATCTAAAAGTTTAAAATGTAAATCAAGAAGGAATTTTTTTGTTTGTTTTTTTGCTTTGTTTGTTTTTGGCATTAAATAAAGCTGACTTTCACTTTGTCTCCGAGGCTCCTGGTGCGCTTTCATTGTTTTTTTGCTTTGTTTTGGTACTGGGGATTGAACTCAGGACCTTGTGTTTGCAAGGCAGGCACAGTGCCATTGAGCTATATCCCTTGCCCACAAGAAGGGATTCTTGAGTCAGGCATGGTAGCACATGCCTGTAATCCCAGCACTTGGGAGGTGAGGCAGAAGCATTGCTAGGTGCCCAGCCTGGGCTATGTAATGAATTTAAGGCCAGACTGAACTACACAGTGACCCATTGCAAAGGGTTCCTAGTATAATGCAGAGGGTGTCTCAGCTCCTCTCCCCAAAAAGGGATTGTACTTTTTCCTTTAAACTTTTCCAATCTTCTTAATTTCTTTCTGTTTTGTTTGTTTGTCTTGGGGTTTTTTTTTTTTGTACTGGGGAATCAAACTCAGGTCCTTGTATTTGCTCGGCAGGCACGGTGCCACTGAGCTACAATCCTTGGCCCTTATAATCTTGTTTCTTTCTAGAAGTTCAGAACTTCTTTGCCTGCTCTTCCTTTTCCTTTGGTTTTGTTCATTTTCAGAAAAATTTCAGGTAGAGATTGGGTTGGTCATTTTCTGTAGAATCCTTGAAAGGACCTAACATAAGCATCCTAATAGAGTTGCTGAATTTTCAGTCTCATATAGAGCTACTAACTTTGATGACTATGTTGGTGATAATATTTTCCACGTAGTAGGGTCAGAGGAAGAGGTAGATATTTCAGAATATGTTGATTGTGAAGACCTGCATAAGCGGTAGAAGTAACTTTTGGAAAGCTCGTGGGAAAAATTTTGGTTGGTGTTTCTCAAAGTTTGGTCTCAAGACCTGAAACATCTGTAATTCCTGGGAACTTGTTAGAAATGCAGGTTTCTTGTTCCATTTCAGATGAGATGAATCAGAAATTGAGAAGAAGGGGAGGCAGAGATAGCAGTCTGTGAGTGCTTTAACAAACTCTCTAGGTAGTTTTGTTGCACAGTAAGAGAAAACTAGTTCAGACCGCTTAGGACTGCTTTTTTAAAAAAATCATATTGGTGTATTTATATGTAAATACAAAACTATCATGTAAGATATTGAATATGAACATTATAATTATTACTGAATCTGACTCGGTCCGTATATTAAATACAAAATGAAATGATGGTAAAAAATAAGAGTAAGAGTATATACATTCAAAGATCTTATCACTGTATGAAATTACTGAGGTCTGATCAGTTGCCAAACTGATCTTTCTATACTCGGGGGGGGGGGAAAGTTTGGGAATTTCTGGGATTCTCCCGGGAATGTAGAATGTTCGGGAGTCTGGATTCCACCCCTAGCACATCAGGCTAGGGGTACTACGAGCAGGGAGGGACAAGTTGGATGGATGGGACTAACAGTGATTGCTGGGGACCACCTCACCTGGCTGGGTTATTATACTTTTTATTAGCACATAACCCACCCAGTTGAAGCTCTAGGGTGTGGTAGATGAACAGACAGGAAGAATTGGACATCATAGTAGACAGGGTATAAGGAAAGGAACCTTCTAGCATAAAAAAAAAAAAGAAAGAAAGAAAAAGATAAAGTGGGCCTGGTTTGTCATCCTCCTTCACCCAGGTATTCTCCTGGTGAATTTCTCTCTCACACCTGGAGTCCCTTCCTTTCCTACTGAGACTTTGTATTGATTGATTGTTTTTGGCTCTGGCTGCTAGATTAGTCATTTCTACCCCCAGTCCTCCATTTTTAGGGTTTAAGAGGAAAGGCAGGTTCTGGAATCACAGTAGGGGAGACCATCTAGGAGCTCTTGCATACTTCTCCCACCCATCCACCCCAAATCCCTCATATTATTCTAGGATCCCTTTCCAATGGTAATTATTGTTTACCTTTTTTCTTTGTTCCTGTCCACTTTGACCAAATGATGCTTTCTTTTATTCTTTGCTTCCTTAGATTCCCTTTCTTTCTTCTTGTAACTTACTCAAAGTTGAACAGCAGTATCTTCTTAAGTCATGGCTGGCTCCCCTGAGTAACCTTAGGTAGCCTCTCTGGACCTCAGTTTCTTCAAATTATAAAATTGTTGTTATTGGGCCGAGGATTTAGCTCAGTGGTTCCACCACCTTCCTGGCAAGCACAAGGTCCTGAGTTCAATCTCCGGTACCAAAACATAAAATAAAACAAAATAAAATAATTGTTATGAAGGTTGGGGGGAGTGCAAGGTGAATTTGTGCACACCTTGAGTCCCTGCTACTTGGGGAGCATAAGGCATAGGATCACTTGAGCCCCGCAGTTCAAAACCAGCCTGGGCAACACAGCAAGATCCCATTTCCTTTTAACATACTCCCTGAATATTGTTTTCTTTCCTATCTGCTCATATCAGTTTCTAGACTTTAGGCTTCCTCAGGTATTCATGAACTCATGCGTTGTCAAACTGGAGTGAAGTAAGTAGAATGGAGGTGCTTTCAAAGGGAAAAGCAGGGCTGTTGTTAATGCCTGAGGCTGTTTAGTCCTGTTAGCTATTTGCAGCAGACCAAAACGAAGATTGTTTTAGAAAGTTCTGATATAAAATGTAGATTGGTCGATAGTAAGAGAGTAGAATGTTATCCTAATTTCTCCTGAGCTTTTAATTCTTTTTACAAAAGTTGACAGGGTCTTGCTCTGTGCCCACGCTACAATTCTTTGAGTTTTAGGTTCAGTTGATCTTCCTACTTCAGCCTCCCAGGGCTCAGCTGGGACCCACAGGTGTGTGCCCCCTTACCTGGCTTCCCGTACTGTTTTTTAGTGCTTTGTCTCACATCTTGAGAATGGAGAGAGCACAAATAGCCTGATGTTGCCAAAATCTAGGGCCACCCTCTACATGGAAGGGGAGACATCCCATGCTGAAGTATTTATTTATGGTAAATAGGGATCCTGATTGAGATAGGTAAGAAACAGCCAGTCTGTATCTCTCAGTTAACACTGACCCTTCTGACTTCAGGCTTTACACACAGCGAGCAAGTTTGCGCGATTCTTACTGTTACCATCTCTTTTCAGATGTCTTTTCTTTTCTTTTCTTTTTTAAAATTGTATAAAATACTTAGTTGTTTGGGGGAATTTGATAAATCTTCATTGTACTACAATTGAGCCATTAATGTTGCAGCTTCATTAACATTAACTGGTTTATTTTTATGATGCTGCTGATTATTCAGCTCTTTCTCCAGCGGTTCAAGAGTAAGCCTTTTTGAGAAGTTTGCAAGTTCCTTCTGAATGTTTATAAAAGCATCATTCATTCTACGAACTTTTTCATCATTTACAGTGTTTATCTTTTTAAGATTAGTGGTGACTGGTTTTGCTTTGTTTTGGGATTTAAAGTTTTGGCTGGCTATGTGAAATACGTTCCTGGACTTCTTCCCTCTTAATTTGTTCTTGGCCATTGTCGAAAAGTTTCATCAACTTTTCACCAGACCTTTGATATCTACATGCTGCTCAGATGTCTTTTCTTTCATTCTTTTTTCCTTTGTTAGTCAAGGTTACTTTGAGGAGAGATGTGGATACTTTAGGGCTATAAGCTAACTTCAAGGAATTGGTTCTTTTTTTTTGGAGCGGGGAGGGGTTTGAGACGGGGTCTTGCTGTGTAGTTCAGGCTGGCCTGAAATTCAAGGCAAGCCTCCTGGGATTAAAGGCATATGCCACGATGCATGGCTATTTTGGGTTTACTGCTAGTACTGCCGTTGTGACTAGATTAAAAACTGTCAAGGAACTGTTTGATTCATGTATTGATGCTAACAAGCCATACACAAAACAAGAGGTGACTTAAAACAGCCCTTTCATTATCTTTTGTGTTTCTCTGGGTAGATCTGGCTTAGGGGGGAAGTCCTGCTAGTCTTCCTTGATTCTCTGGTGCTCCATGGAAGCTCAGTTAGGACAGCTGGTCTTCTCTCCCTCACTGTGTAGGCTCAGGGGCCCTGTCTGGTCAGGAAGTCTCTCAATCAGAATAGCCAGATCTCTTTATTATGGGAGGCTATGCATTGTAGGGTGTTTAGCAGTATGCCTGCCGTTACTTACTAGAAGATAGATGCAGTACTGTTACTAGCCACTTAGGTCTGTGTACTCAGATTGCTTTGCTTGCTACTGCCCACATCAGAGGTGGCCATTTATTTTGGTGAAAGGAAAAAGGATTTATTTAAGGCTAGCTCCCAGGAGAGGGTAGGGACTCATTCCCTCAAACTGTTATCTCACCATGTATAGGTATTAAGGTCTTTTATAGCAAGGAAGAAGATGGGGTTACAATAGAAATATTCAGGTTTGTGTCATTGCTCCCAAACCACTCCCATGTCCTCCTCCTTTGCCTATGAGATAAAACTGGACTTGACCTCCTGGAGCCAGCATCTGCATAGTCTGTCCATTCATCTGGGCTGAGAATTGGGGGTGGCAGTTTATCCCCTAAGCCTGCAGAAGTTTGGAGAAGCTGCTTGTCTCTAAAGGAAAAAAATCTAACGGCTAAAGTTTCATTTTGCTGCACAGATTACAGTAGTACTCCCACAACCCATTGTAACAACCAGAAACCGCCACATGTCCCCTGTAGGAACCCTCGTCCCATTGAACCCGCAATAAATTATTTTGTGATTTACAGTACTATTCTTTGAACTTGCTGTTTCAGTATGACATCTCACAAGAAATTGGCAATGGCTTCAAACCATCTTGTTCTTATAATAGTTGCAATAAATAGTACTGTCTGGTTCTGGTGGTCTTGAGTTGTGCCTTTCATTGCCTCTCCCCTTTTTTGCCTTGTCTTTTTTTTCTTTTGTCTGATTCCCCGAAATAAAATGCAGCTGGTAAAGTGATATTTGTAAGGCCTTTTTACACAGGTATCAATTCACCAGGCATTCAGGCCACGGAGATAATAGCCATTAGTGCTAGTAAAACAAGGCAGTTTACTTGTTCTAATTGTAGTGGGGGAGGTTGCCTAATTTTTAGCAAGCTTGGAATTCAGTGGTTTCCAGGCTCCAGGGAGTTAACTTTGTCAGGGTAGTACTGATTGACGTGCTGGAGGACGTTAATGATTCTTTTGGGGAACGGGGGAGGAGAGTGGAAATTGCAGTTTCTCTCTTAATTGTACTTTAGGTGTCATTTATGACAATTTCATGTTGTCTAGACAGAGGAAAATGGTGGAGAAATTATTTCAGTGGAGTTTCAGATCCCGAGTCCAAACGGAATCAGGGTGGTTGCTAAAGTCGAGATTGGAGTGGAAGGGCAAGTAGTATATCCCCAGAGGCAAATCAGTACAAATCAAATGTCACTACGAGAAGCAGCTCAGAGTGAACCTGGAATATAAGAAAAGTGATTGTACTCTAAGCTTTGTGTTAGCTCAAGGGCTAGAGGAGGACTGTTTGGGGGCCCAGCTGGAGTCTTTGCTCTTGTATTTCTATAGACTCCAGAAACCTCATTACATGAACAGATTGGAGCCAGGAGAGCTGCCTCTTTGCTCTGGTTAATAAATGCCCCAGCTCACTCTGCTTTCCTTTTGTGAGGCTTTTCTTGTAGAGCTTCATTGACTATGCCTTTCTGATGGCCTTTAGATTTTACTTCCTGTTACAGAGTATAGCATTTACAGGATGCTGGGGTCCAGGGTCAAGGGCCTATCTTTTTTTTTTTTTTTTTTTTTTTGGTACTGGGGATCAAACTCTGGACCTTGTGCATGCAAAGCAGATGCTGAGCTAAATCCCTGGCCCAGCCCTGTGTTTTTTTTTTCCCTGAGGCAGGGTCTCACTATGTAGTTGAGACTGACCTGGAATTTACTATGTAGCCCAGGCTGGTCTCAAAACTCACAGGGATCCTCCTGTCTCAGCCTCCCAAGAGTGCTGGGATTGCAGGTGTGCGCCACCATGCCGGGGCCCCAGGCCTATCATTTTTAATGAATGTCCTTGGTAAAAGATTTTTAAAATTTCACATCAGAAATGAGAATGTGAAAAGTCATCTTAGAAGACAGTTACAGGTTTGTTGGTATTGAAATAGTAAACAAGTCTGCCAGCATACTCTTTAGAAGTAATGGGCCTTGTGATAGACTTTTTAAAGTTAACTGAGAAGTCAGGATTATGGAATTCTGTAGATCTCTCCTTTAGGCGCATTGAGGCGGGGTGTCACTTAGGTTGCAGTCAGTGCCTCTTAGTTAAGCCTGTGTATTGCAGCTGCTGCTGGAAGGGGCTTCTGTATATGTATTAGAACAAGCTATGGGAACTTTTTCTTCATAGGTCTACAGTAGTCTTATTCTTTGGTGAAAGCCTCAGATGTAAATTCCTGATTTGAAAAATAGGTCTGGGGTCTGTGAGCAGACTTGCTAAGTCTTCCAGTGAAAATGGATTTGACTGAGGCTGGAGGATTGCTGTGAGTTTGAGATCAGCCTGGACTACATAGTGAGTTCCAGGTCAGTCTCAACTACGTAGTGAGACCCTGTCACAGTAGTCTTATTCTTTGGTGAAAGCCTCAGATGTAAATTCCTGATTTGAAAAATAGGTCTGGGGTCTGTGAGCAGACTTGCTAAGTCTTCCAGTGAAAATGGATTTGACTGAGGCTGGAGGATTGCTGTGAGTTTGAGATCAGCCTGGACTACATAGTGAGTTCCAGGTCAGTCTCAACTACGTAGTGAGACCCTGTCTCAAAAAAAGAATCATCTTGAGCTTTTGACATGCAGACTAAAGTGATTTTTTAAAAAGTTAAAGTTTCACAATTATACTGTGAAGTATTGAGGATAGTATATAAAAGCTTAAATACAGTGCTAACTAATCATAAGTTGTTTCTAGCCTCTCCCCTTTTGGTGTCTGTGCATCTACATTGTGTTCTGATGTTTTACTATCTATTGCTCACTGCCCAGAAGCCTTGTGTAGTATGTTAATGTTTGGTAAAGTCAATTTGTGAGCTTTTCTGGTGTTTTTGGCTTCGTGAATTGTTAATGCTTGATGATAGTGAAGTAAGGCTGATCTGCACCTCAGGTACTATGAGTACTTTTGATAGTATGCCTATTTTCTCCCCAAGGTTGGCCTTTTAGCAGTGCCACCTTGCCTTGGTCTACCCCACAGCAGGGACAGGAATTGCCTGCCAGGCTATACAGGCAGTTGCACTTCATGCTCCAAGTGTACCCCTAGAACTGAGAGGCCCTGCAGTGATCAGATGAGTGCCTATCATTGGATGACTTAAATGGTAATTGCTAGTGTGTGAAATGGGGAGGCTGGATGCCTCTGCTTTAAAGTAGAGATGTCAATTTGGAAATCATAATAGAGGTGTTTCAGAACACACAATTATATTTTACAAAGAATAAGGGCTTGTCATCTCATGGCCCAGGCATGCACCAAGACAGATTTGGGCTTGCAGAACAAGATTCAGAAATGAAGAAAGCAGTAGTGCTCTGAGTTTGTTTGGCCCCTTAGCCCTCTATCCCCTATGAACATTGTCCCTTCCCCTGTGAGGTCTCTTGGCATCATACACTCTGGGAGCATCAGTGGTAGTTTCCCAGGCAAATAGCTAGCTCTGATTTTATGATTTAATGAGCCTCCTAAGGACCAGGCTGCACAGCATGTATCAGGACTACTATGTCAGCACTTTAATCTGAGTGGCTTATGTGACCAGAAGGATGAAGGGTGATAGAAGCAGTTTCTGAAAACCTTGTTCCTTTGGGAATTTTACTGTTAAGTTTGATATCCAACAACCTTATCTGAAACTTGTGGGATCAATGAGGGAGGGACAAGCCTGTTGGTTCATTCACTTAGATTTTTTGTTTTTGTTTTTTTGCGGTACTGGGGATCAAACTCAGGACCTTGCACTTGTGAGGCAGGCGCAGTGCCACTGAGCTAATCTCTAGCCTTCATTCACGTAGATATTTATTGGTCTTCTCTTACATGTTAATTGGGATGCAAGTTGTGATGGGGATAAAAAGATGATTTCAAGCAAGGTGTGATGGCATGTACCTGTAATCCCAGCTACTTGGGAGCCTGAGGCTGAAGGATCAAAAGCTCAAGGCCAGCTTTGAGGTAATTCAGAGACAAAAAGTGCTGGGGATGTAGCTCAGTGGCATAGCACTTGCCTGGTATGTGTTTAGGCCTTGGATTTAATCCCAGGAAAAAAAAATTGAAAAAGACTCAGAACCAATATCTGCTATCATATAACTTGCAGCTAATGACACAGATAGGACATTGTACTGTTTTTTTTGGTACTGGGGATTGAACTTAAGGCCTAAACCCCAGCCCCCTCTCTCCTTCCCTCTTTCCTTCCTTTCATTCCCCCTTAAGATCAGACTGGGCATGATTGAGACCACCGGAGCAGGCATAGTTCAAGCAACTGGTAAAGAGTTTATTATTGCCTGGGTGCAGATGGGCCAAGGGTGAAAAGGCTGTTGGCCCTGAGAGGAGGGTGTGCATCATTGATATGGGGGAGTTTAGGT